CCCCCCCCCCCCCCCCCCCCCCCCCCCCCCCCCCCCCCCTGTATAGCACATGTGCCGCTGTCAGATCGAAAAACGGCATAGATAGGGCAATACGTTGTATCGGCTATATGCTATGCCAAAGACGGACGAGTTTTAACGGAGAAGCTGCGCTTTTGACAAGGGACACCAGTAGGAAGTTAAAACAAGTTGTTATGACCCATGGCGACAATAGCTATTTTCATAATTCCAATATCGGAACTCTCGTCTGAATATCCCTTCTATGCCATTTTCATCATGTTAATCTCGTACAACCTCTATTTTCATTACTTTCGGGTATCTTTCTTTCTCACTGATTCGGCGGATTTTCTCGCTTTCTTGGCCACCGATGCTTTATTTTCAACCAATACTTCCCCTTTTTGGCTTAAAAAAGGCCCCCTCAGTATTATCGTCAACTGTCCCTTTAACGAGTTCGAGTCTTCACTCGCTGCTGACGCCCATCGGAACTTGTGAAGAAAAATGTCCAAGATGAGCCTCGTATTGACGGATTCATGGCGACATCATCAAGTTTCGGATATGTCGAGCACTTACAAGTGATTAATGCCTTCTCATGATTGTTCTGCGGGAACTTCCCAAACATTCTAAAAGATTTGGTTCACTTTGAAATTTCTGCAGAAACTTCCCGTGTGCCTTAATACAATCAGCAATCCCTAACGAACTTTGCATTTCTCAAACCACATTACCCCTAGCAAGGCGTTCCTATGATTTTTCACTTCCACCACTTTGTTTTTAGCACCAGCGAAAAGGCCACATCTCTCAGCCTTCTATGGAACTCTCTGGCTAACTAATCTCAATGACACCCATTCAAACAAGATCTCAAAGTATCATTTGCTTACTCGAGTTCCATGTCTTTGTACTTACGGATTCTGTTACGATTCGGCGCTCATCTAGCGTTTTTGTTGATTAGACTACAAAATGGACGGGGTCGGCTGTAGGCGGCTAATAAGGAGGAGTGAAAGGCCTCATTATGACCGAACTGTTCACTGGAGAGCGATGTGGAGAGGGAAAAGGTAAACAATATAAATCAAAGCGTTACTAGAGCTACATGATAAAAGTGGATGACGCAACAATTGTTGCAACAATTGCCTTCGACGCTGTTGTTGCTAACCTTGAAGGTACTGTATCTTTTCTGAAGTTCGTCATTTCTCTACTATGTCAACGTCTGCTTGTGGTTCTATAAGTGGCCCATTGGATACGTACTCATTCTGAACATTCCCCATCTCCTCATACTGTTGTGGGAGTGAATTTTGTGTCGGAGGCATCGGAAGCACACCTCACGATTGAAACGGTTTCTGAGATTCCCCCTCCCCACTGGGGCGATTTAGTGGCTACCAAGTAAAGTTATATGTGGCGTTGTCAGTTCGAAAAACGATATTAATGGGAGCTACAAAGTCAACTGTTTGCCACACCTAGGGGTGGATGTGTTTTGAAAACGTAGTAGAGGTACACCATTCACAATAGAGCGCACATGTTGCAGATTCCAGGACCCAGGGTGACAGTGAAAGGGTTTTGCGCAAGTGACATCGGGGCAAACACCCTTTCCAGGACACTTCCATCGCCGTACTATCATACAATACCCTACTACGCCCAGCTTACCCTTTTCTTCAAAGGCCTAAGGCTATATAAGCCTATATTTCTTGAGATCTGCCGACTTTTTAGCTTTCATGGCCGCCTTCGACTATTCTGCACCACCACGTCCATTGTTTCACCTAAACAAGGTGATTAAAAGTTACCATGAACTGTACCTTCATTGCAATTTATAGTAATTTCCAAGTTCGGTCTTCTCGAAACCTGGGCATGCCACATAATATTTCAAAATGCTTTGCCGTGAAGGTTTGTTATGATGGATTCGTTTTTTCGTTTTCTGTCTTCAAGGACCTGAAAGTCTGAAAGTAGTTCGGAGCTCTTGGTTTTGGCTTACCTGACCAATCGCCCAAAAGCAATAGGCCAGTTGCAACTACTCCCAGAAACTCAAACACCGAAACAACCCTGCCAGGGAACCAACCTTTTGCGGTCTCATCAGCGTTGTCGTCCCACTCTATTCCGTGAACAGCAAGGGAACAATGAGACACAATTGACGGTCGTGAGATAAGAGTTGCGCGGTGATCTCAAAGCCCACAAAAGGAAATTAATGGGAGAAGTTCACTCGTTATGGTAATGCACTCATTTCGGTTGTTCAGCTTAGGATTCCGCTCGCGGATGTACAACGCTCCCAATATCCTTCTAATACCGATCGCGTCCTCGTAGCTAGGCTTTTGTGTTTGACATCAAAATCTTCGCCTTGATGCTCTTCTAGTCGATGCCTGCCAAGTGGCGTTAGTAGGCTTCCTCGCCTTTTACCTGCTAGATGTTCCTTAACGCGTATGCCCAGCATCCTTCCCGTCTCACCACTACACATTTCGTCACAGGCTGAACACTGAAGTTGGTATACCGTCCCTCGCTGTGTGCAATCTCCACTCCTTCCGAACGGACAAAAAACGCAGTTATCTGTCGATCGTAGAATCTGTTGCGAATCGAAAGACGTTTGATATTGTCTGCTGGTACATTTATCAAGACAACATCATTAGCCAAATCCGCTCGTGCAATGCACTGCCG